GTACAAATGGCAAACGCATCAGTATGCTACGCAAAGCAGAGTATGAATACTGTGAGCAGTGTATGAATACTGTGAACAGTATATCAGTGCAGAATGTCGTGTTTGAATGCTACGAGCAGTATATCAGAACCAAATACAGTGTGTGAGTACAGTGTATAAATACTGTGAACAGTATATCAGTGCAGAATGCCGTGTTTGAATGCTACGAGCAGTATATCAGAACCAAATACAGTGTGTGAGTACAGTGTATAAATACTGTGAACAGTATATCAGTGCAGAATGCCGTGTTTGAATGCTACGAGCAGTATATCAGAACTGAATACAGTGTATGATTACAGCATACCAATGCCATGAGTGTCGTGTATGAAGTGTTGTGTTGGCGGTGCGATGCATCAGATTATGCAAAACAGTTTATACAGAGTTTGAGACTGCGTTTGAAAGACTGTGGTTGACAGAACTTACCGGGATACTGTAAATGGCTAGCAGGTCGAAGCTCCACTGTAGCATCCCCATCACGGAGGCAGTCAACTCCAGGGACTGTCGAGTATACTCAGAGGAAGCCTGCAAAAGTGTGCATCAGTATTCTGCAGAATATCAAATGGAATGAAATGAAATGACGGTACAAAATACAAAATGCAGTAGTGCATACCGGGGGCAAGTCGTAGAACCCGACTAGCTCATGATCAGCCGGAGGGGGAGCGATGGGGATCTGATAAGTCTCCCCATCCTGCCCTCTGCATGTCATCATCGTGGGCAATGCTGGCCATCCAGCTCCTTGTCCTCTCCGGGATCCACTCCTACCACGTGCCCAAGCCATCCTCGGTGCTCCTACTCTAGATGCCGGCGCCGCAGGCCTCTCCCTCTCAGCTCGGTGAGCACTACCCAGAGGCCGCATGATATAGGTCTGGACGTACTATGCATAGTCGCCCTCGCCTCTAAAGCCCTCCGAGTCCCAGCCGATCGTACAAACGGCCATCTCCTGTGGGGTGTATACTTCTGTCTGCCTCATGGTCGTAGGAGGCAAACCTGGGACTATCTGCTCCGGCATGCCCAAGGTCTGGCGCAGAAAGCGCTAGCCTAGGTACTAGGCCCGACAGACCGGGCCCTCTAGCAAAATCCTGAACCGGGAGGTATCCTGAGCGCCCTCATACCACTACCGTACTGCGCTGGGCAATGTGGCCCATGGCTGCCAGGTGATCTTCAAACAAAATATAACTTGTTATCTACTGCTATTGAAAATGCAATACAAAGCGAAGCTTAAATGAATTGTAATGTTTAACATGCCTCTGTCGCGGTGATGGTATCGAAATAGCGGCGGAAGAATATGAAAGACTCATGTGGTCTCCGCTCGCACCTCACGTCAAAGTGGTGGGAGAATGGGATCATGGGAGGCATCTCCTCCTCTGGTACTGGGGCAAGCATCAGGAAGTAGGCGTATACCCACAACTACAGTATGACAGAACAGATATCAGTATGCTTATCAGATAAAGCAGAATGCAGAATAAAGTAGAAGGTGCAGAACCATGCATTGAGCAGTGCATTGTGCGGAGTGTACAATCCATGCAGTATACAGTCAGTGTAAAGCAGATTGCGTGTTCGCAATATGTGCAGTGTACAGTCAGTTGGCAGCAGATTGTGCAGTATATGAAGTGTGTTGTGCAATGTATGCAGTGTGTAAAACAAATTATATGTGTGCCGTGGGTGCAGTATATGACCAGTGTGACGAAGACCGCAGCGTGTACAGTATACAGAGTACATAGAATGTAAAACAGAAATGTAAAATAGAAGAAGAAGACGTATCTCCCAAGCCCGCCAGTAGCCTCTGAGCAGCTGTCCGCTGAGGCGAGAGGATGAACTCATATAGCCATAGAGTGTGGCCAAGCTTGCGCCACCCCAGTCGTAGCCGCGGATCCTGGTCACGTCAACCAGTGCACTCAACAGGCAAAGGGGCACGGTGTTCGCCCGGTCGGTAAAGAGGGTGGTCCCTAGCAGGAACATCAGAAAGTCGCATGTGCACTGCTCCTCCTCCTCCCGAGTGGTAGGCGCCTGGATCCTGAAGTGGTCCTCGAGCCATGAGTATCGTACAAATCCTGGACGAGCAAGAGGCGGTAGGTCACCGAGCAGGTACATCTGAGCGGCCTCCCACTCGTCCATATCTGTATCGAAGGGGATCGGATCACCCCCTACTCCAATGCCTGTGAGCATGGAGAAGTCGAAGGGAGTCATCGTCATGTCTCCTATGGCCGAAAGATGGAAAGAGTCGGTGGTGTCCCACCACCTCACCAAAGCAGCAAGGAGAGGCCTACTCGCAGTTAGGCGTGAGAGCCCCATGCAGAAAGTACCAAAACCGGCCTGGTCAATGATACGGCGAACTGCCTCAGGAAGCTCCATGTACCACCCTCGGGCCATGACATTCCCATACCCTCGGAAGGCATGGGAATTCCCTTGTGGTCAAAACAAATAGTTGCGAAGCAGTGTTACAAATACAGTGTTGAATGCACTACGGATCAGTGAAAATACAGCATGTGTCCACGTCTTCAGATTCAAACAGATATCGGGTGCGGGTGTGCTCGCAGTGAACTCTAGCATATGATGCAACAGTTTGTTCGGATCATTTCAGTGAAAATGCAGCGTGTGTGCAGGTGTCCAGATTCAAACAGATATCGGGTACCAGTGTGCTCACAGTGAACTACAGCATATGAATATGTCAGTGTGTTTGAGTGATTCAGTGACAATGCAGCGTGTGTGCACGTGTTCAGATTCAAACGAATACCGAGTGCGGGTATCCTCGCAGTAAACTACAACATGTGGTGTATCGGCGTATCTAGACTAAGCAATTAAAGAACAAGATCAACTATTGCAGTTGTGTTCTACTTTGTAGAAAATGAAATGGTGAAGAATATACCTCGGAAGCGCCGTAAGACAGATGTGACTCTGGCTCGCATAGTAGAAGCTCTGGTGGTATGCCCCTAGCAAAACTCCTGAACTGCCGAAGTCCGTCAGGAGGCAACACGTGAATCGTCGGCTGGTAGGTCGCCGGGTCAAATGGTCGGACGCTCAAAGGCAAGAACTCAGCCTCGGGGTCCATCTCCTGCTCCGGGGGAGTCCCACCTTGTGGAAGATCGTCTGCCATGTCGAGAATGATGTGAAAATGGCCGGAAGTGTGAAAACCGGGTGAGAATATGAAAAGTCAACTGAAAAGTCAACCCCGAGAGGGTGAAAAATGGACGGAAAGCTTGGAGTCCGAAAAGGGCACAGAGATCGAGGTAAACTTGGGGGAAACAAACCCCAAGTGGTGGGAATCCATAAAGAAACACCGAATTTGAGATTTGTTTGGTTCAAAATGTTCAAAACGCGAAGGAGTTCACGAATCGAATGACGAAACGGGCCCAAAAACGAGGAAAAGCGAGGGTAGAAGGTTGGAAAATGACTTAGAGAGATGGGGGAAGGTTTTTTGAGCAAGAGGCAAGTGAGGAAATAGGGCTAGGAGCCCTATATTTAAAGACCCGTACCGAATTGACAAAACTGCCCCGATACAGGCATTTTTGGCCGGTCGGCCAAATATTTGGCCAATGGCCTTATTTTTCGGCCGGTGGATGGCTAGTGACCTCCCCCGATGGCCGGTGAATCTGCTACACCCTTGTTTGGGTCAGATATGTGGTTTGGGGCCTCCATTGCTCAAGATAGTGCAAGGAACTGCATTTTGAAGCTTAACCGATCTCTGTGCCATGCCTTCTGTGCGTAGCACTCGAATACGTGCAAGGTGTATCCTTTTCGTATCCTTTTATATCTTGCAAAGGCTTGGGAACTACTTCATTATCCCTTGCATTGATATATACTATTCATTTGCATTGTCGTGCATCTCAAAAGACGCGCGTTGTCACGCATTCGAGTTCACATGCATTGTCATGCATCTCAAAAGACGTGCGTTGCCGCGCATTCGAGTTCATTTGCATTGTCATGCATTTTTCAAAAGACGTGCGTTGTCGCGCATTCAAGTTCATTTGCATTGTCATGCATTTCGAAAGACACGTGTCGTCATCCATGTGTGTCTCATTTGCATTGTCATGCATTTCAAAAAAAAAAACAAAAAAAAAGTTGTCACGCATTTGTGTCTCATTTGCATTGTCATGCATTTCACAAAACAAAATACAAAAAACAAACATGCATTGTCATGCATTTTCTTACCATGCATTGTCATGCATCAATATAAATATTGCACTTACATACATACATTACATGCATATTGTATATATTGCATTGTAGATTGCATGCATTTGTTGCATGATCCATCTACGGCTTGCGCCTTTCCATGTTGAGCTTTGTCTGGTATGTGCCCGTACTTTTCACGTCGAAGCACGGTTATGATATTATGTGTTCGCACCTAGTGTTGTGGGTGACGGCACCATTTCTGTGTTAGACGTGGTCTGTTTGTGTTCATGCCTTTCCTAGGCAAGATACGGTTTGCCCGCAGGCCGTATCCATTCCATCTATTGCATTTGCTGCATTATCCATCTATGGCTTGCGCCTTTCCATGTTGAGCATGGTCTGGTATGTGCCCATACTTTTCACGTCGAAGCATGGTTATGATATTATGTGTTCGCACCTAGTGTTGTGGTTGACGGCACCATTTCTGTGTTAGACATGGTCTGTTTGTGTTCATGCCTTTCCTAGGCAAGATACGGTTTGGCCACAGGCCTTATCCATTCCATCTACATGCACATTGTATATATTGCATTGTAGATTACATGCATTCGCTGCATTATCCATCTATGGCTTGCGCCTTTCCATGTTGAGCTTGGTCTGGTATGTGCCCGTACTTTTTGCGTTGAAGAACGGTTATGATATTATGTGTACGCACCTAGTGTTGTAGGTGATGGCACCGTTTCCATGTTAAACATGGCTTGTATGTGTCCATGCCTTTCCTAGGCAAGATATGTTTCGGTCACGCGCGTTATCCATTGCATTTTTTTTCATTGTAAATATTGCGTTGAACATAGCTTGCATTATCATGCATCTTTCCTTACATGCATTGTAATGCATTGTTCCTTACTTTGCATTGTCATGCATTCTTCCTTACTTTGCATTGTCATGCATTTCCTTACTGCATCATCTAGTATGTAGGTTGCATTGTACATAGCTTGCATTGTCATGCATTCATTGTATTGTACATAGAGAGTATTGCATGCATTTGTTGCATCCTCCATCCATCGCTTGCGCCTTTCCATGTTGAGCTTGGTCTGGTATGTGCTCATACCTTTCGCATTGAAGCGCAGTTATGATATTATGTGTACGCACCTAGTGTTGTGGGTGACGGCACCGTTTCTGTGTTAAACATGGTTTGTATGTGTTCATGCCTTTTCTAGGCAAGATATGTTTTGGCCATGCACTTTATCCATTTCATTCATTCATTGCATTGTAGTGTAATGTGTTGTGTCTAGCATTTAAGATCGTGGTCTTTCCTGAGCAGAGCATGCCTCACTTATATCATCCCACCCAATTACTTGTATCTTGTGTTTCGTCTGCACACACATAGTTCTGCATGTGTACGCGCCTATTCCACTGATGGGATTGTGGTTTGAGGGTGTTAGCACATTTTCTATGGTAGACGAATTTTGCATCTCCATCATCTTTATATATTTGTGTGGTTTTGTACTGCTTATGGTTTGATCATCCCAAATGCATTGCACATCATTTGCATTGTTTATACATAGTTTTGTAAATATTACATATCATTTTGCATCCATTCCGCATTGTTATGCGTTGTCACATGAGTTGCATTGTCATGCACTCCTTCGCTTGCGTTGTCATGCAGTTTTAGATTACATTGTTATACATGTTGCTAATGATATTGTACCTGTTAAGTTTTCTTTCTCTTTCAGGCATGATATTGTATGTACGGTTCCTTTGAAGCTGGCACAACCAGACGAACCAGACAGGTATTGTGTTCTCCGCGTGAGACGTAACGAGAATTGCATAATTCTCTTACATCCTTTCTGCATTGTAATGTAGTTGGATTTGTGTTTGATTGCTTAAACTGTTGCATTTATTGTATGTATTTGCTTCGTTACAGCTCTCTTTGCATGATCATAAGTTATGCTCAGCTTTGTGCATTGTCTTGCATCTTGCCCCCGCCTTCGGGCACATACCTTTATCTGTAGCTTGTATGCTTTATCTAAGTCTTCGGCCTTGTCAAAAATGGGTCGTCTCTGGGCTTTGACACTCACTCCCGTCATTGTTATGACTTTCGAGTTCTGTCAAAGAGGAACAACTATAGACACCTCATTTTTGACCGTCCTCAAGACTCGGACGTCACCGTTTGAACACTCGGTGATCATCCATGTTTGTGTTCATCCTGAGTTCTCGAAGGTCTTGGCCATGCGCCTTGCCTCAAGACCTCTCGACTTGCTTGTTTTATGTTTGGTTTTACACCAAACACTTGTTGTTTTGCTTCTGAGGGTGGAAAATGGCTTGTTGGCCATCCCCACACCTCACCGGCCATGGCTTGAGGCCACCGGCCCTGTTTTGTTGCTACCGACCGACACTCTTTATGGTCGGCCGACCATTGTTTTGGTCAATTTGTCATTTTTGGCTGGCCAATCACTGTTCATCTGCTTTTGGCAGATATTTTATGCCAGCTGTGATAGCTAGCATCCACAATGCACCCCCTCCATACACGTGTATGAAAGGATTTCCCTCTTGCTTAGCTTATTTTGTAAGCTTTGCAAGAGTGAATCTGTATAAAGGGAGGGCTTCTCCTCCCTCCTAGAAAGGTTCCAAGAAGTTCCAGAGCTCTGAGATTAGGGTTAGAGGATTGTGTATCTATTCTATCTCTATATCTCCTTCTCCTTGCATTTTGTGTGTGTTTAAGGTGTTTTTGTTCATAGTTTTGCATACAAACACCTAGTGCTACACTTTCCTTTAGCTACTGAGGTACTAAGGAGTTATTTTCAGAGTTCTTGAGTTGATCTAAGCTTGGAGAGGCTGCTGGAGCATTGTTCTTGAAAGAGGTCTTCAAGGGTAAGAACTTTACCCCTTTATTCCCCATTTTTGCATAGGCTTTTAGCCATCCTTGAATCTATTTTTAAGCTTAGTGTATAACTAGTAAAAGTTCTATTTTTACTTGCTTTTGATAGTTATTTAAGGTCTCTTTGAGGTTTGGGGTTGTTTGACCCCTCTTAGGCCTTGTTTGGCCTCATTTTTGTGCACTTTTGGTGAGCTCCGGGACCACCTTGTGTTGGCCTCCTCTTTGGATTTCAGTGGTGGGGATGGTGTTTTGAGGTCCTAAGAAGGAGAGGGCCATCCCCTCTCTTTGTTGTCTTCAATACTTGCCATTTTAGCCTCATGTGTGAGCACATTTCTTGAGTCCTTGTTGGCCATGTCTTAAGTAGTATTTGTGCTTATTTTGCCATGATATAGCACTGTTTTTAGTTGGTTTAGACACACTATGCATGCTTTGCATACTTGTCTTGTAATGCCATGAAATTGCCTTAACATGCTTTGTGCTTTGAGCCTTCTTTCTAGCATGATTTTGGCTTAGCTTTGTGAAGCTTTTATGCATATTTTGATGTGCTTGAGGTCTGATTTTGGTCATTTGGGTCATCCATGACTTGCTTTGTGTAGCTACCATGCAATCCCCCTTTGTAGGCCTTGAGTGTTGGATCCTCTAGCATGCCCTACTTGCATCATTTCAGTGGTTTGGCACCATTAGTTATGTCATTTCAGTCCATATAGTATGCTTGTATACTTGCATTTATGGCCCCTTTGATGTTTCAAGAGGTTTGTGTTTTATGCTCTATGTTTGGGTCATCATGCATGCCTTTAGACTTAGGCCATTCAGATGCCATCTAGGTGTGTCTTTGACCTTGTTTTGGTCTGCTTTAGGATTGTTTTGAGTCCTTTTGTCCCTTTGAGGCTTGCCTTGTATGGCCATGGTTTAAGCCCCTTTGATAGCTTTGAGCCTTGAACCTTGCTTGCATGCTTTGATTGTTTTGTTTAGTTTGTTTGGCACCATCCTTAACATGATTTTCAGAGTTTATCATGCTTGCCATTTGTCCATGTTTGTCCCCTTTTAAGTGTGCTTAAAAGTCCTCTTTCTATGCTTAAGTACTGGACCATGTTTGCATACATGTTTGTATGTACATTTGCTTTCATGTGCTTAGCATATTAGCCACTGTTTTGGGCTTAGAAGTTACTCCTTCATGCTCAAGTTTTGGACCATGTGTGCATGAATGCTTGTGTGTACATTTACCTTGCATGTTGTCACATACTTGACCCATAGGCATGTTGTCACATACTTGGTCTATTGGCACGTTGTTGCATGTTCAAATGGTGTTGCATTTGGCATGCATCTTGTGTTAAGTTGCTTTACATGTTCCTATGCTAAGTCCCCTTCACATGTTGTTGCATGTTGGTCATTAGCATTATTGTTACATGTCTAGCATGCTTGTTTGCTTAGGTTGTGTGACTAGTGCTCATCACTTGCTTGCACGCTCATATTGCTTACTTAGCTTGCATGC